CAACTCACACCGATCGGGCGTAGGACTGATTACCCCGCGTATTTAAATCGGGAATCGGGATGTGGTTTGCCAGGATGCTAATAGTCGTTCTGAAGTTCAGTCCATGGACGGTCTGTTTCGGGGAAAGAAATATACGTCCTCGTGCGCCTGCTAAATCCGAACAGCCATAACCCATGGATCTAGACCGATATGTCGCTGTCCTTAAACCCGAGTGAGTCGGTGGGAAGAACACTGCCAGATTAGCTACAAAGGGATCGGCTATGGAGCTACGGGTGGCCTGCCGCTGCACCATGCAGACCATGGTTCTTAACAACGTGAGGTTGGGTGACCCCCTACAGGTTACCTGAGCTCCCGCAAGCAGCATAAGTCTGTAAGGAGAACACATATCGCGGTCAAAGATCTTCATGGACTGTAGTGCCAACGGGAAAGCAAAATACCTAATTACTTAAATATAATATCTGATTTAGATTCATTAATTTACAGTAAATATATTTAAGGTTATAAACATAATTATGAAATATTTTTATATTTCACCTCTTCTTTCACACAAGTACAATGAAATAGTATCTTAAACAATATCACTACATTGAATCCGTGGATTTTAAATACTCTTTCAAACTTCAATTTTTTTTTTTTTTTTTAGGTTTACATTTAGTAGGAATATTTCATTTAATTACCTTGAAAGCACGTGATTTAAGTTAAATAATGTTAGTTTTTAGAAATTATCATTCATATTGTTTTCGATACTCTCCGTTACCTTCTACAACCTGATATATTAGATATTGTTTTTTTTTATTTCCGCTATCCAACGATATATTATACGTATACCTTCTGACTATTATTTTTGGATATTTACCTTCGTTCTGGATAAGTCTTTTTCTTTTTTTATCCTTTATTCAATCAAATTATTATAAAATTTATATTTGGCATTTTTTCATAGCTCCTAACAATGCGAAATAGTTAATATTTATAATAAAACAAATAAAAGATACTTTTATACTACATATAAAAGAAGACCTGACAATGTTGGGATTTCACATGCGAAAATTCATCAAATTATTCACTAATTTAATTTTCTAAAAAGTTTCATGACGATTTTTCGGAATTAACGGACGTTAATACCAAATTATTTAAATACAGGATCAGATCTAGAATTATTAAACTACAGTAAATATATTTAAGGTTATATATGTTTATAACTTATGCTTTATATATCCATGAAATGATTTTATATTTTACTTCTTCTTTTACACAAGTACAATGAAATAGTTTTTTAACAATGCCATTGCCTTGATTAGGTGAATTTTAAATACTTTTTCAAACTTAAAAATATTTTACATTTAGTTAGTAAATTTAATTAATTTCCTTGAAAACATGCGATTTACGTTAAATAATATTAGTTTTCAAAAATTATTAAAAATATCACACAGGCCATTTCGTTGGACTTGATTATTTGGACTCAGGGTACCTCGTTCTTAGATTCGAAAATTTTCACGATCGCAATATTTTCCCTGACTACATATTACTTAGATAGGTAAATGAGAGTAAAAAAGAAAGAAATTATGAAACATAGAATGTTAAATTAAATTTAAAAAAAAAACAACGGAGAATTCATATATTAGAAGAATTTTTACAGATACACTAATCTTCTTTGAATTTATACAACGGCTCTTGATGTTAGTAATAAAGAATAAAGACTGAAGTGGATAACAAATTATTTAATTTTAAACAATAATGTAGCAGTATTCAAAGGATAAAATAACGTCAATGGTGTGTTGGAAGACTTTTTCACACCACTGTATATACATGTATATAAATATATATGTGTGTGTGAGTGATTGAACAAGAAGCACACAGAAGAGTTGAAGAACTGGCAGGATTTGTCGAAAATGTAATTTATAATTGGACTATGAAGCATGTTCACTAGCATCGTATATATTTTTTGTAATTTACGTATAAATGAACCAAGTAGTCATACGTTTAAATAAATATGTTGGCTAACTATTCCACTAACAGATAACTTCACATATTTACACATACATTAATGAATGGAAACAAACTGACCTTCTGAAGGACTTCTTTTATTGGCCTACCGAATTTAACTGATGAAGGGATTTTATTGAGAACTCCTGTAGCGTCGTTCTTCCTCTCCTCTCCCACCCTCCCAGCGTGCACAATCTGTTATAGTCATTTGTGTTCCTGGTTCCTGGTCACTAGTAATAATAAAAAAAAAAAGTCCATTCTATGCAAATTTGGCGGATTAACGTTTATTAGATAGTTTTTCTGTTTCTGGTATTGATATTTTTTTAATTTCCCTATAATTGACCTTTCATCTAAGAAGTCACAGTTATCAAAATGTAACTTGCTTAGACATTGAAACAATTTTTTTTTTTATTTCTTATTTTTGTAGTTGGTAAGTTTATATAATTTATTACAAGATTGGCAAAGAAAACTTACATTATTATATGTCAAAGTTATATTTCACATAATACTTCTGCTAACGTCAAACTGATTTTTTTTTTCTTTTTTTTTTTGATGAAGCTTAGACATGGTGGTATGCATAGTCGTCCCTTATACTCCACCATTCCCTTATCGTCCCTAATAGGCTGGTGGTCTGAACCCTTTTTTTTTTTTTTTTTTGGGTCCTTCCCTTCCTCGCCGTTAAGGCTATACGGGATTTTCCCGGGCCAGGAGTGTGGGCGGGGATTTAAAAGACTCTCCCGGCACCGGGACGCGAATTCGTGACTATTTTTATATCTTTGTATTCATATGTCAGGTTGCCAGGCAACGGCGGTGCAGTGCACACGCTTTAGCCCATTCGGCTACCCCGCCCACAAAAATAAAAATATTAGTCATCAACCGGACTCGAACGTGGGACTTTGAGCTCTGGAAGCCAGTACTCACACACTGAGATACCCCGCTTCCCTGGTGGTCTGAACCCACCTCTTCAACTTCCCTTCTTATATAGGGGATATTTAGGGGAAATAGAGGACCCTTTATCATTCCCAAAACTCCCCTTTATCTCCTCCCCCCCCCAATCACTACAACTTATATTTAACTGATAGGAAATCTAATTATCGTATAATTATTATTATTTTTGCTATTATTATGCTTCTAAAATTATTATTTTTGTTACTATTATGCTTCTACCTAAATCAAAATTAGTGAAATTGAAACTTCTTGGTTAAAACAAAATTCCGAGTATTTAAGAGATAGGTTAAAAGCTAAATTAGAAAAATTGTATAGAGAACGTTACTTTCTCCACTCCACTTCATAGAATTAGTTTGATATTAGCAATATAATGATACGTAACTGCTTCTTCTTTTCTTAAACATTTGCGCGAAAACGTGTTAAAATATCGATTAAACATCGAGTAAGTAAAGAAGGTAACTGGACCGTTCAAATACATAGTAAACTATTGTTACATATATTTTTTTAATATTCTTCTTCTGTAGATGAGTGATATAAAAAGAAAAAGATTTTGTGGACCACAATGTATATAGAGGAGAGAAAGTATATGAAATTTCAACAAAAATATATTCTATATAAGGAAAGTTTTTTTTTTTTTCCCAAACCTTCAAAACCTACCACTTCTCCTTCATCCTATCGTCCTATAGCACTTCTTACAATAATGGGCACACTATTTGAAAAACTATTACTAAACCGTCTAAAGCCTATTCTAGAATATAGTGAAGTGATACCAAATCACCAGTTTGGCTTTCGCTGTCATCACTCTACTGTGCAACAGTGCCATCGGATTGTAGATGCTATCTCTGTGACATTTGAAAAAAAGGAATATTGCTCTGCCGTCTTTCTCGACATAGAGAAAGCATTTGATAGTGTCTCACACAAGGGCCTATTATGGAAACTAAAACCGCTCTTACCTTCCACTTATTTTTTAATTCTTCAATCCTACTTTCTTAATAGATTTTTCTGTACTTCCGTAGATTTTTCAGTATCTCCCTTCTTTTCTCAACACAAAGGCGTACCACAAAGTAGTGTCTTAAGCACCCTAATACCACCATTCATTGCTTCGCTGATGACACTGCTATTCTAACTTTACACAAAAATCCTAATATCGCATCAATTGCCCTACAAAACCATCTTCATGATCTTGAAAAGTGGTTTGAAAACTGGAGAATCAAAATTAAAAGTAAAAAATCCACCCACGTTAGTTTCTCTCTTAGGAAAGCCTCATGTCCACCCATAACGATTGCCAATAATCCAGTGCCTTCAAAGAACTATGTACGGTACCTTGGACTCTACTTAGACAAAAGACTTACTTGGAACATACAGACAAGAACTTACTAGACGATATAGCCAACTTTCACATCTTCTGGACTACAGATCTTCACTTAACTTACGAAACAAGCGACTTATCTACAACACCTTACTGAGACCAATATGGACATATGGAGCAGAACTTTGGGGTTCAGCAAAACAAAGACACATAAACAAAATAAAAACAGCACAATCATAAATTTCACGAAAAATTGTTAACGCACCTTGGTACATTTCAAACACAACTATACATAACGACTTAAACACCCATACTGTAAAATCCTACATCCACGACAAATACACTACATTTCATTCTTCAACCAAAAATCACTCCAATCCTCTGGTTCTTTCTATCTCCTGCTCCCTGTTACTTGAGCAACGAAGATTAAGAAGAAAATGGCCAAGAGACCTACTACATCAATAAAAACATCAATATAAAAAAAAATCAAGCACTTACACCAAGACAATAAAAACACAACAAATTTGCTAGTTGCGCAGTGCAAATTGCATAAAATAAAATATAAATATAAAAATAAAATGTTTTATTGCGAATTCAACATTAAATACACCATGAAAAGGTAACTAAAGAAAATACAGTTTAGCTTATAAAGAATTAATAATTTGCAATCTTCATATCAAAAACTGGGTTGTTTTAAATTTCTCTTTAAAAAAAAGTCTTATATTATTGCATGAAATTAAATATTTCTAATTTTCTCCACTTAGAGTTTATGAATTCTTAAGAAAATTCCGTGAAGAGGAGAGGAAGTAATAACTTTAGGGTTCAGCTTGATGTCACCACAGTTATTCATAGGGCTCAATTCGAACTTGTACTTTTCCAATGACCTTGCTAAAACACTTGTCATAGCAGCTTCGGCAAATCGTTTTCCTAAACAAGAATAGCACAAATGAAAAAGAATAATTGTAAATAATGCACACTAAAGATAATAAACACCTTTTAATGTATAATAAATGACGTTAAATTAAGGATATATAAAGAAGTGTTCCTTTCAACTCTTAGGTAGTAAAAGCTTGATAAAACAAGACAGACATAAAAATAGAATACCGAGGTGTCCCCAAAGAGTGACGAAAAAACAAGACGAGATTGCTAAAAAAACGACAACATTAGAGAAAATTTAAGGGACAAATACTCGAGAAAAGAAAGCAAGTGGTACTGTCTTGTTTCAGAATGGGAGAATATAGAGAACCTTGAAGTTTTTATGACGCCCAACAAAAAGGTGACAGAGGTTTATTTATTTACATTCCACCCTACCTTGCCTGATGGGCCATACGGGCGTTTGCAATAGTGGGCTGTTATGCATGACTGCATGACAGCATACTACTGCAAGTGAAACAGTTAAAAAGATTTTATCTTTGGTGACGTCTGATCAAGGGTGTCCGTCTTCCGGCGGTCTTCTTGGTGGTGGTCCTGTTCTCCGTGCTCCGATGTTGAAGTGGGCTGGACCCACTGCCTCCTTCCAGTCATAAATGAATTTCTTGAACCGATGGAAGTTCTCCTTACTTACCAACTGAGGAAGTTCATCCTCTGTTAGGACGTAAATTCCTGCGGTTCTCATCATTGTTGCCCTTATTCCTTCAAATGCAGTGCAGGCCGTGACCACGTGCTCGACAGTCTCCAGAACTCCACAAGTGGGGCATTGGGGATCTATGTCCTGGCCAAAGCCATGTAGCTTAGCTCGAAAACCCCATGCCCCGTGAGGAACTGTAAAATCCAATAGTCCGGGAGGATCCATTGTGCATCTAACCGCGATTGTACAGGGGGGAACTATTTTCTGAGAATACTCCCTTTCGGGGTAGCAACCCACCGACTGCTCCATTCCTCAATCATATCCTCCCGGATTATCTTCTTCCATTTGTTGGGACTTTCCACAATCCTCACCCGCAGATTTTCTGGAACTCCAGCCAAGCCTTCTTTCTTGAATTTATGCTTGGTGATATCTTCTCGCAGGAGGAGGTCGAGAGGTACCGCCCCCGCTAGGACCTGCACTGCTTCATGTGACGTTGTCCTAAATGCTCTGGTGACACGCAATAAGGCCATCCTCTGGATCGACGCCAAACTTTTTCGCTGTCGCTGTGTGAGGTTCCTATACCAGGAGGGAGATGCATACCTCAAGATACCCAGCACAACGCCTTTATAGATCGTCATCGTTGCAAGGTATCTGAGGCCCCAGAATGCACCCCCAACACGACTGAGTCCGCTCAAGGCTTGGGTCACCTTAGTTGCTAGATAACCCAAGTGAGGTGTTATATTTAGGCCTTTTCCTAACCTTACACCAAGTTATGTTACCACCTCACTTGGGCGTATTATTTGACCTTCTATATCCATGCTGATGGGGTGTGCTCTATCAGTCGTGCCTTTCAAGAGGATGGCTTGCGTCTTTTCAGCAGCTATACGAATTTTCTTTCCCTCACACCATCTGGCTACAAGGTTGGCGCATCGCTCTGATTACTTTGATTCCCGCCCTGCTGTTGGATGCCACCACAGCAGAAAGGTAACAGAGCTAAGAGTGGACTGTCTTAACTCGTATGAAGGCTAGGACAATTAAGAGGGAAGTCGATAAACCACTCAATAGAGACCTCACAAGAAGATGCCGTCAATTATTGTTAACAATTATTTATATTAATTTTAATTATTAAATGGAATTTAATAAAATTCCTACTAGGAAATTTCTATACTATTCTCCAAATTTCAATTCAAAAAAATTGAATGCGCAGTTTTCAAAATAAAGGCTTGCCAAATACGTTTGCTGATGCGTAAGCGAAAGTATTTTTTCTGTGAGTAGTTGATAGAATTTGATAAAACTCATAGCTACATGATTACCTATTTACTAATCCCTAACTTCACTCCAAATTTGAGACAAATCGAACATGCGGCTTTAGAGATATAGACTTATCTAGGAAAACACGTTTTCTCATATATACGAGAAATTAGTTGACAGAATTCAATAAAATTGACATTACGTAATTTGTTTACCATTACATACCTTCTATCCAACTTTGAGCCAAATCGAACGAGCCTTTTCTGAAATATTGGCATATCTAAAAAAATAGGTTTGCTCGTGGGTAAGCGGAATTTTCGAATGGAATTTGATAAAATTGATATGGAACCATCTATACACCAAAGCGCGGAATCCCTGAAAATCGGATGAACGGTGCTAGGGGATAAGCTCGTCACATCGATTTGACTACAGGCAGACGGACAGACAAACACCTAGCCAAATTTGATCCTTGATATCTGAAACGTCAAACGTGAGTGGAAAGTTTCGATTCTGAAAACAATTTTTTCTTAAAATCTCTCACGAACACAATGCTTCCAAAAAGCAATAGGAGTTCTAATTTGAAAAAGTGACGTTGGTGAAAATTTTGCAATCTGCATCACAATTTTAGAATTGCAAGATTGGTTATTTATATGTTGCGTATTTATATGGGCGAATAATAATAATAAAAGGCTTAGCGAACCCGAAGGTTCGATGCCGAAACCACCAATCGCTTATCACGCCCTCCAACGATCACCGTCCCAACCCAGTCCCCTCAGATCAGCTATAACGCAATCCTCCCACCTTCGCCTTGGTCTACCCCTCGGACGTCTACAACTCTGAACACCGAATATTAATGTTTTGAGAATACTTCAAGAAGGAGAAGTAATGATGTTTCAGCTGAAAACCATTTACGAATCGGCTGGATTAAAGATCAATTTCCAGAAAACCGAATACATGGTCATAGGCGATACGGATACTAGCGCACTTCTCGTGAACAAGCTGTCCTGAAAAAATTAATATTTTTAAGTACCTGTGCTCTTATCTCGACGCTACAGGGTCTTCTGAGCATGACGTCTGGAGGAAATTGAAGCAAGCCCGTAATGCTCCCCGAATCCTACATCCAGTTCTCTGGAACACCCAGCTTTCCTTAATGAAAAGATCGAGGCAGGCTGCCGGAGATGGTATGGGCATGTGAGAAAAATGACGGAGGAATGTTGGCCGAAACGAATCCTGGATTGGGTTCTGCCATGGCCCAGAAGCAGGTGGATGGAGAGGGACCTGGAGGAAACGCGTGGAGCTCTGCGCTGACTACGTGAGCGTCCCTTAGATGGAACCTCCGTTTAATTGGCCGCGATGTAATCGTCTCTATTATATTAACCGAATACAATTCACGCCATTCGGCGTTGTGTAACTGTCTTAACTCTTTGGTTAACTTATCCTTCTTTGGTCGAAATATACCATAGATCGATAGGAAATAAAATTTCAAAGAAAACAATTTTGGCCTCCTAGATTAACAAAATATTCCCATGTTGTGCTTCAGCATACAATGAAAATTAGAATTAATGATTTATTTTATTTTATGTTTGCAGGAAAGCACGAACAATCCATAATTCTTTGATTAATACACATTGAGCATTCACGCATAAAATAAAATGTTAATCGATATTATTTAAAATCACCATAAGTATCAAATGATCCGATTCAATATTTCTATTTTTTAAAATATTTCAAACCATAATATTTTTCCTCTTAATCCGTTAAAATACACAGAAAATATATTAAAAATGATTATAAAATAAAATAAACGACAGTTTACCAATGCAAGTTCTTGGTCCATCTCCGAAAGGCATGTAGGTTCCATTGACTGGTGGATTTTCAAACCTATCAGGTTTATATTCCAAAGGTTCTGGAAAATATTTGGGATCCCTGTGTAACGATAAAATTGGTACTAGAACGTGCAGTCCTTTCTCAATGACGGTTCCATCGGGTAAGGTAAAATCCTTCATACATTCTCGATTCAAGGCAGGCACAGATGGATATATCCTCAATGTCTCTGAACAATACATAAACATCACAGTACATAAAAATCTTAGGATAAATAACTCAATTGAATTTGAAAATTTAGTCGAACCAAACGCTTGGTGTCAGAGATAAATACACAAATTTTAAGTAGTCCAAGGTATTTTCAAATAATCATCAGCTCAATATATTATCGGATATTTCGAAATCTGTCTTACTAATCCCTCACTTTAAAAACACAAAATTACTAGAATTGGTTCCCAGAAATCACTTCCAAAAAAATATAATTTTTTCAGGACTATTAACTAATAACAGCATTTCTGTATTGTTCTACTTCTCAGGCCCTTACCTCAACAGAATACAGTTTTTTTTAAAACTATTATTTCCACCTGTAACCTTGTGTCGACAATCAGCAAATGTGCTGAAAATGTGAGAAATAACGATATGCCAGACGTGGGGAAGGGCAGTACTCAGCAGCACCTCTTTCCTGACTTAATTAGTTTAAGAAAGAAGATCTCTCATCCAACGCCTTTTTAGTCTCCTCATATCCAGGAGTATTTAAGTTGTTGCCATGTCTCTTATTAATTTGATGTTATGTCCCTTTACATTTGTATACAATTGTTGGTAATGGTTCGTCGGTCAAATGTGGCGGGGTGGCCGAATGGGCTAACGTTATGAGAGATTAAAAAGTACGAGTTCGCGTCCCGGTGCCGGAGGGATTTTAAATTTCCCGCTCTCACCCCCAGGCTTGATAAAAATTCTGTATAGCCTAAAAGGCGAGGTAGGAAAGAACAAAAAACAGATATGTCGGTCAACTGTTTGAAGCTAGACGTCAGTGTTTTGTTAATCGCTTAGTAAGGTGCTTTTATTATGAGTCGCAATAATTTTGATTGGAGGTTTGAAATTTTTTTTAGGTGGGTCATTTTAGCAATTCCGTATATCTGTGATGAGTATGTCCATTTGTGTTTAAGAAGATATGCATAAATGTATTCAGTTTCTGTCTCAGATTCAATTTTGAAGATTTAGAAAAAAGAGGGCAAGGAGTATGAGCCGTATGTTATGTATCTTACATTTCATTTTTACATCTGGATAAAAACCCCATGTCATCCTTCTGTCAAAAGTATGTCCAAGATAAAGTACCGTGTCCGTTGGAGTAAGTTGATTGTTGTCAATACAAACTGGAGGGCATGTGTTTTTTCGAAGAATAAATGATAGATTTTGGGATGGTCATGAATAAATGGAATTTTCCACAATTTCAACCATTTTTTTAATTTTAGTAAGTGATATTAAGTTCAACAGAATTTAAATTTATACCAACGAATTAGTTAAATTCATAATAAATTATTAGAAGTATAATAACTAGTTTTTGCAATAATTATCAATTTTTAAACTATATTTTAAATAAGCTTAGAAATTTACCTGCAATACAATTTTTTAAAAATTTGAGCTCCTTTAATGAATCAAATGTAAATTGACCATATTTTTCTTTAACCTCCAGCACTTCTTTCCTCGCTCTCTCTTGTATTTCCTGATGTTTTGCCCAGAAATAAAACGTGAAATTTAATACACTAGCTGTAGTTTCAAAACCAGCCAAAAAAAATACAAATGATTGAGCAGCTAACAAATTATCCGTCAATTCTAAACAAAAAAAAAATATCATTATATATGTACCTTTAAATATTAAATATATATTTTGGTCATTTAAAAATGATTTTTCAATGTTACTTAATTTTTTCTTAAACAATTTAAAATGCGTAAAATACTTGTAATATTTCGTTCATAATTATATATCATGAAAATAACAATAATTAATAATCTAAAACTGGAATTAGCCACGTTCAGATGACAATTCTATTCTACCTATCCAAATGTAATCAACAAATGTAATTCTACCTCTCTGCTCGTGACAATTCTCTTTGGAAAACCACAACGAAAATCCTAAAGCCTCACCAAATTTTCCATCCATTCCGACGATATGACGGCTCCTGGGCGGCACCTGAAGAAGATAAAACCGAAGAGTTCACCAAACACCTCTCCAATACATTTATTCTCCATCCGGAATCCCATCCTGCCAACACCGTAACAGTAGAAGAATTCTTTATATCAAACATAGAAGTACTCAAAACATTCCACTGTTCAACAAGGACTTCGAGTCATTGATCATAGATCAGCAGCCCTAGAAAACAAGTGATACTGTTCGGGTGCAGTTCTGGACATAGCACAGGCTATTGACCGGGTATGGCATCGCGGGCCGCTCTAAAAGTTTAAAATCCATCTCCCTCAGTCCTTGTACCTAATCCTTCGATCCTATCTGTCTGACAGCTCCTTCGAGTACGCTGCGGAACGGCATTTTCCGATATTTATCAAATTAAAGCCAATGTTCCCAAGGGCAGCGCCTTGGGTCCCATGCTTTACATCCTCTTTAGCGTTGACACCCCTGCTCATTCCGATACCTTCCTTGCAACATTTGCTGATTACACCGCAATCCTATCATCCAACTCAGATCCTGAAATAGCATCCTGAAATCTACAAAGGCCCTGATTTAGCACTGGTGTGATGAATGGTGCATTAAAGTCATAGAGTCGAAATGCAAACATATTACCTTTACTCTCCGACCCAATTCCTGTCCACCACTACAATTAAATTCTATCGAGCTTTCTTACTCAGACGCAGTCGGGTATCTTTGCTTTCTCTTAGACCGAAGACTGACATGGAACCCACATACTAGACTCAAAAGACAAGAACTCAACCGATATATATATAGACTACTGAACAGAAAATCTCAACTTTTCTAGAGATGTATGTTTATAAACTGATTTCCAAAATGCGCTTCTTAATTTTAAAAGATAAGTTAAAATATGCTGTATTTTATTTTCCAAAAAATTAATATTTGATAATTATTATTGAAAGCTATAATGCAATCGTGTTTTTAAACATATCTGAGTAAGATAAAGGAATTAATCCTAACAAATGAATCAATTTTACATTCATTTTTATAATCAAATTAATAATTGCTAAAATAATTTTAATGGGTAATTAAGCTGGTTTCTATGCTGTTTTTTAAATAATAATTTTTTTAAAATTATAGCTAATCTACTAATTTTATCATTAGTCCCCCTTGATTGCGAAATTTCCTCCTAAAATTCCTACTTTTAGAAAAACGTTTCTTCCCTACTTAATGATTTTTGATTAAGAGCCATTTCTTTAAAGAGAAAGAAAAAGTTGAATTGATTTTTTTTTTCTTTAAATCTTCATCCGCACCTGTCATGGTAGTAACAATTAGCAGATATGCTGTTAAGTTGAAAATGACATGATAGGCATGACGAAGAAAGGAGCCCAGCAGCACCTCTTCCCTGGCCTGTTTATATCCTAAAATCAGGAAAGGAGATCTCTCATCCAGCTCCTTTTCAGTCGCGTCCTGATGAGCATTTCAGCCGTGGCCATGTCGTTGATAAGTCCATTGTGATGTCCGTGTAGTTTTAGATGAAATCGGGAGTAAAGAGTACGTATGTGCTGGTCAATGGTTGGTTGTCTTAGGTCGGTTTGAATTTAATTGAATAGAATTGAATTTAAAATTAAATATTATTAAAGGGATAATGTTACTTTTAGACAGAAAACATACGGAAGTCCCGACTTTTGTTAAATTGGAAGCTATTATATAATTTTAAAAAATTTAAAAACTTATTTAAAATAGGAAGTTAAACAAGCGTTTAGTCAATTTTGAGCAGAGATTAGTTACAGATATAATTTATAATAAATTTAGAAACATTCTAGAAGTTTTTATGAATAGACCTCAGCTTTATTTTAATATATTTATTATTGAAATACTTGAAATTATTGTTATTAACCATAATTAAGTCAATGAAACTTACCTTAACTTTCTTGTTTAATAATTTTATAGTCGATAGTGGGTTGAGGTTGGTTATAGACATACAATTTAAATTTTAAATCATTCTAGAAGTTAAGTTAATTTTTAAATGAATTCAGCTTTATTCTAAGGTTTTTATGATCGATAGAACTTACCTATTTTCTCATTGGGAGATTCTTTATACGTTTCATCTTTTTCTATTTCTGTAGTATCTATCTCAACCGTCCCTTTTTCTTTCAGTTCGAGAAGTAATTGGACAAAATCTTTTCTTACTACTCCTGTACTTCTCCTATGATGCAAAATATTTTTTGTTGTCGTAAGGAAAAAATTATTGATTTTTGCTGATACTGTTTTAATTTTAAACCACATCAGTAAACGTGGTATAGATAAACGTAAAAATAACATACGCATGTTTATCTTATTAGGATCAAAATACTCTCTTCCAATTTTCCTAAATTCTGAGCTAGGATTTTTTAAACATTGAGGTTCGATTCCAAATCCACAGGAAGCTAAAAAAATAATAATAAGAAAATAATAGTATATAATTTATATTTCGTTAACGTGTGTAATTGAAGATATATATACACACACATATATATATATATATATGTGTGTTCTTATATTTATTTCTGTTCTTATTCATTGAATTGACAGTTGTGTTTCACAGACAATGCCTTGGCCCTGATTTACAAATAAGTAATTAAGCATTAGTCCAGAGAAAAGATTACGAGGGGTTACAGAACTCAATGTGAGAAAACATTGGACTAGTGTGGACCAAATGTCTTCTTGGTATTGCGCAAGAGCCTCGCAGTTACCTTATTGTTATTTATTAAACAAGTTATTTTAGAAAAACACTACAGAATATGTACATTTAGATGTAAGTCATGGATATAGTAAAGTCCAACCAGATAAATTAACTTGACAATACATTAAAGGCATAGTCAATAAAGATAGGAGTAGGCCCACATCGTAGAACGGAAGAGTTGTAGAGTAAAGAAAATCTGTACAATGTCACCAATTATTTAAATAAAAAATTGTATGTGTCCACTCCTATGACTTTTCCGTTGTATTCATTAAAAATAACACAATCGAATTAGACCAACTTTCCAGATAACCGATCAGAGAAATCATTAGGGTACGATTTCTTTGACGAACTGAGGAAATGTAAACGGGCAAGTGAGCAGTAATTAATATTAGTGTATAAAATTCAATACACTGTAGCGTTGCTAAAACTAGTCCGAGTTAGACGATTTTTAATAGTTCTGTCTGAAACTTAATAACCTTTTAAAAAATGCTACCAATACAAACTTATTATTGTCGTTTTTCAGAATGGGCAGATTCAACTTAACCCCTACTGAAAAATTGGAAGAGTTAAAACCAAGCGTATATTGGTTCTAACAATTCTTTCCAAATAGTATCTAAAATTATCAGTAACTATTTTGCGTTAATTTTTTTAATTACAAACGCAAATTTGTATTCACAAAGTGCAAGACCAAGACCGATTTCAGGTAATGCTAAATAGGACGAGTATTTGAGTGACAATCAAATCTTCGATACTCGATCGGACTTAAGAAATTTATTTTTATTTTTAAGTTTATTCTTAAAATGTTTAAAATGAACAAAATATATATGATACTATTGCTAATCAACAACTACACTATCTACGTCATCTAACTATCTATTATGAATGACAATGTCTGACTACTTGCTAGAGGGGTAAGGGAGGGTCATTTATACAGAGTCAGAAGAAAATGCTGACTCTAGGGATTTACCATTACTTGGCTACCTTAGTGAGGACGAAATGAGTTTTTAACGTATTTGATTTTTAAATATATATAAAAATTTCTGTAATTCAAAACAATATATACTTTCACTACGCTTACTGCAGAATAATCTTTACTTTTAAGGTATAATAATTAGGAAATATTAGTTAGTAATATTAATCCGAATATATAACAAGCTGGAAGAAACAATATACAGTGTGTTGAAGCTCATGTTTTACAAACGATAGTTATAACAAAAGTATCAAACATTAACATATTATTAAGTTAGACGAAATGACTTACAGTTAGTTTCTTAAAAATAGTGAAAAAATAATATTAAAAACTATTAAATATATTTAAAAAACTGTTTCAATAGTGTAACCAGTGCCGATCTAAGGGGAGGGGAAGGCAACCGGAGCATTTGCCGCGGGGCGTCGACATGAGGGGGCGCTAGTTAAGGGAGCTGGCCGATCTTCAGAAGTTCTCGCCACTGGCTACGAATAAAAAAAAAAAATACAAAACGTCTTAAAATACTGAATTTTAGCCTATCAATAAAGCAACTGTATTAGAGAAATATCGAATGAAATAAAATTCAAATATTACATTATATATAACAGCTTAAGAAATAAATTTGATTTTTTTGGGTAGATGGGAGAGTTGACGACATTGGACGCCGAACGGAGGAATGTCTAAGGCCGGCACAGCCTGTAACACTATAGACCCATTGAAGTCGACAAAATACTGTAAGCGGGTCAATTATTATTTTAAGGCTAAATGGGTACAAGATAATTTGAATTTATTATAAACATTAATCAATCAGTTCCTCAGAAAGAGGAATGAGAACGCACTTATGCTGCTTACGCCCCTTATGCTCCATGAGGAGTTAAAACAAACGTAAAAACAGCCATCAACCACAGCTTGCGAAAAATCCTGGGGTTCTGGTGGGCTGAGAAGATCTCTAATAAAGAGCACCCCTTAACAGATTCCTATCCAGACACAGTGGATAGGACATACTTAAAGGAAACACGTGTCATTAAAAAAGGAGCTCTGCAATGGAATCCTCCAAATACAAGAAAGAAGAAGACCAAGAGAGATATGACGCAGATCTGTTCAAAATGATCTTATCCTGACTTGGCCAAAAGCGAAAACGATTGCTGAAAAAAATGCGGAATGTAACACACTTGTAGATGATTTATACTCCACCAAATTTCAATGGTGATAATTATTTTCAATTAGACATAAAAAATGTAAATTGGACCAACACATTCAGAATATCCGACAAAAAAGAAGATTCAAGGACTACGTCAGACCAGTATCAGACTACTGATAAGGAGAAACATGTTTCCTCCAGTATACTTGCTTCGGCTGGTTTCGATTGCATTCTTTAGAATTTTTTTTTTCGGAAGGTGAATATTCATCAAAGATACATCTATATTATACATTTGACATTAAAGTAAAGTATACACTTTTTTTTTTTTTTGTTCTTCCTTACTTCGCCTTTTAGGCTACCTGGGATTTTCTTGGGCCGGAGGGTGAGGGCGGGGAATTTAAATATCCCTCCGACACCGGGATGCGAACTCATACTTTATTAATCTTCTTAAATCTCTTATCCGGTTGCCAGGCAACTCGCGGTGCAGTGCTCACGCTTTAGCCCTTTCGGCCACTCCCTCCTCCCCTATTAAAGGGGTTTTCCAGGGCCAGGGAGTGTGGGCAGGAACTTAAAAACTCCTCCAGGCACCGGGACGCGAACTCGTGACTATTTTTTTTTATCAAAGTCTTATGTATCAGGGTGCCGGGCAACGGCGGTGCAGTGCACACGCGTTAGCCCATTCGGCCACCCCGCCCTCAGGCATTAAAGTATATACTATGTTCTTAGGTGGTAATAGTAAAATATGGATGTATCATTTAAATGCATTCACAGAATCAGAGGTGACCACCCTCCCTCCCCCCCCCCCCTCCCAAGGCCGATGGCGCATAAACCTTTCCCCACCCCTCCCAAGATATTTTATTCTCTCTTCTTCTTAAAAACAGTGCAAACGAAAGGAGAATTTGAATATTCTATTATATTATTTGAATATTGATTATATACCATTACACACCCTGTGGTCTGTTGCATGATTCCACTTGTCTTTTGATTTAAAACTTTTTATTTTGAAAATTCATAACCCCGTCGGAATATACCCCCCTCAAACATTAAAAATCCCGTCAAAAATTGCTCCCCTCATTAATTTTGATGGCGCAACTTGCGCCGTAAAAGCCACTTCTGGGCATCCCTGCACAGAATATTTGCTTTCTTGACAAAACAAAGCTGAATTACACCATCACTCTATCCCTCTCTTTAACACTGAATGAAAAATAAGCAATAACAACTTACCAACCACATCTGTAGTATATCTTGCCAATAATTCTTTTATGTCTAAATCCTTTCCATCACTTAATTCGGCAAGGCACTCATCAAAAAGATTAACACATTTGTCAATTTCTTCGTACATCCACTTCAGCTTAACTTGGCTGAAAAGAGGAGATATCTTATTTCTTAGGTATCTCCATTTGTTTCCTCTTAAAAAAAAGAGATGTTCATCAAGAGGATTCGTTTTCTCGTCCACTAGAAAAATCCTGTCGGAGAAATGATCGAAGGAGCTCTTCAAAACGATATTGACGTATTCCGGATCTCGGATCATGAGCGTAGGGACTATTGCTTGGTAAAAGCCCCCACATTTCTCGTTTTCTAGTTGTTTATATATCCTGTCCCAACTTTCAGCTGTTAATTAAAAAGAATATATAAATATACACAACTACTAAAAAATATAATTGGTGATTAAACTATTGACTATGAATCATTTAAGTATTTTTTTTCCGAAAAATAAACAGGCCAAAAATTGGTGAAGGTCTATCGGTGTTTCTACGTACAAATAGGTATTTGCTTATTGATAGGTATATACAGATGGTCAACTTCACATAGATTGTTTTTACAAATTCTTTTACATAGAAGTTTTGACTTCCTCCAGTATTTCCCTATTCATTAATATTTTTGCTTCTTTATTTATTACTTTATTTATATATACAATGTGTACCCTAAGTAAACGGAAATATGATATATTTAAAGACGTGATAGCGTCCGCTTTACCGTAGAAAAGTAGTAAACTCAAATTTTGTGTTTTTATATATGTCACTTTTTTTTTTTAAATTATAACTTCAAAATAAATAAAACTGTAACTGTTTTTTTTTTTTTAAACTGTGTGTATGTAGGTTTTTTATTGATTTTTTTCCTACTGTCAAACAACACAAAGGAATGGTATTTAAGCTAATAATTTTAGATTAATCTTTAGTGTGAAATGATGTATATCAAAACATGAACAATTCTTATGTGTATATTATAATTGTAAAATGTCATTTAAATAAACTTATTATTATTAGCTAAAAAAATATTTAATTAAGTAATCAACAATTGCTTCATAATAAACTGAACAAAATTTGCTTGAAAAGAAAATAGTTTGTCATTGTCCAAGCTCTCTTTTTAAAAAATATCATGGATTATTCGCATTTTTTTTTTCATCAATCTCCACCTATACTAAAGAAATCGAAATTTCCGGGAAAAAAAAATAACATTTTTCGGGTTTATTAAGTTTTAAGTACATATCAATTATATTGAGATTTAGTAAGAAATAAGTCGAGATTCACCTCAAGTTGTGTAAAAAACTGACGTGGATCCATATCAAGAAGGTATATAACTAAAACGTTTTCTTCAAATAATTCACACAAGTTCTACATAGACCAGATACAATCATGTTTTTTTTTTTTTTTTTGCGTATCTATTTATTTATCACTGTAGATCCCGTCATTTTAGACAAACTTTCTTGTTTGTTAAACTTTAAGTCCGTAAGAATTAAGATTAGGTTTGTTACTGAATAAGCTGAGAGTCACCTGTATTTTCGTAAAAAATGTATGTTATAATTGAAATTCTGTCTCCCTTATTATTATTACCTATAAGCTAATAATTTTGTCATCTGAAATTAATTGACAAAAAGAAAGAAAATAAATATAACATTAAAACTGTGACTTACTAACGTGTATCTTAAATAATACTCCATCGGGATCGCTTCCAAGAAAAATTTAGGTTTTACATATTTAATGTTTCTCTTTTCGAAATATGAATAAATGCTTATGATTTTGTAATAAAGCAAGACACACAAAGTCAAGCAAGACACAGCTATAAATACGTCAATTTTCCAATTATTTGTAACAAGTCCCATGGTTGGACCTGAAACAGTATCAAATATTATAAATTTTCAGCAAAGCAACAAGTATATTAAAATTACAATAATATATATAATATAATTTAAAATATTGACAGCGGAATATTATTAGAATTTCTAATAATTGTAGGGTAGCTCTAATTTCTAATAGAGAGTGGTACTGAGCTTCCAATGATAAATGTCCCAGGTTCGAATCCCGCCTCATGGTAGAAAAATTGTTTATATTATTACATTGGCCGTGGGGCGACGACTCTGGGTTGGTAGATCCTTCTGGCGCACATCCAGCCTCAATAAATTGGGTACCTTAATTAAAATAATTAATTAAGGGGGAAAACCTGGCGGTTGAGTTTGATCTCGGTGAAATAATCTCCTTGCACAATCGTAAACCAAGGAACAGTACTTTCCCGAAATAGTACTGATGAATCCAATGAAGCGTCTTCCCTTCATGGGTTGTAGTGGTACAGTTTTTTGTTTTTTAGTTTTTTTTTATATTTAGTTTTCAATAATTGATGTAACTGAATTTTTTATTTACCCATCCTCAACAGTGATGAACTAGACATTGTAAAATATTTTCTATATCGAAAATAAATACTAAAATATTTATATCTCAATCTATTTACTAAAACTTTAGATTTAAAAAAAAAGTACGTATTTTTTTCTAAGCTCCTAAGGATGTAGAGTTGATCTCAGGAGATAAGGATATGGTTAGGATGGGATGTATTTTGCTTAATTGAATTCTCCTCTTGACATAGGAGCAACTATAACTCCCAGAATCAAATTCTAAGAGACTAAAAGGAATAAAAAAAACAGTACCTCAGGATGATAAATAATGTAGAAATATAATTCGAAATTGAGCTGAAGAATAAATTCGAACCCTGAGTCTCAGTCAGAGGTTTTCGAGGTGGATCAACATTGGGAGATATTAGGGGGAAAACAGATGAGGAATTAATATGAACACAGAAAAAACGTAGAGTCAAACTGGTTAACAAAAAAGACCCTTGAGGAAAGAATAAATGCAGAGGAAAACTGGTTAAACAGCATCCAGCAAAAATACAAATTAGAGCCTCTCAAAAAAATGTTACAAACCATTTAAGACTAATCACAGGTTGGAAATATGTGTTAATTCCACGCCGAAATCAGAAATTACCTACACCTTTTTCCTTGTGAAAGTCTGCGCCTGTGGATGTCACCCATAACCATAGTATATACACCATCATTCCATCATCCAAGAGTTAGTCTATTCCGGTCGCTTGCCAGATAATAAGGACAAGTATCTATATTATTTCTTCGTTGATTTTTTTTTAACGATTTTTTTTTATACATAATTTTATTAAACGTTTTAATATCAGTTATAGTTTGCCGATCTTTTACTGATTTGGATGGTTTTAATGTTTTCAATTTTAAAGTGCTATTACGTCTTCTCATTATTGGATGCTATCATAGGTAGATATACAAACATACACATACTGCGACTAAAAGCAATTATAGTTAATTAGTGTTAATATGTCTCATTATTCCTATATATTCCCACCACTACACTGAGTTAGGGTGGCTCTTCCCCTCCTTAAGAAGACAATATTTCCTAGGCACTTTCCTTTATCAAATCATTACCGATCATCGTCCTTCTTATGCCTACAACTTTCTCCGATTTAAGTCCTTAATCCATTCCCTCACTACAAGATCTCGACCCTCTGACCTATACATCCCTTCTCATAGATCTACCTCATTCCAAAACTCCTTTATATCCCGCTCTGTCAACTTTTGGAATTCCCTCCCAGTCAAAATTCGGCATGCGCCTTCCCTATACACATTCAAAAACCTCCTATTCCAATTCCTGTTCCAAAAACAATCAGATACCAGCTAACTATTAAAACTATATATGTATTGTGTAGCAATCATATGATAATACCTGGTAAGAGATAGTACACGCATTTCCTACTATCGATGTTGGAACTTCGATACATACATTTTTTTTTATTCGATTATAATTAACTGTTTATTTATATATATATACAAGTAAAGTTTTTCTTATGAAATGAACTCATTCTATCTCTTTTTCGTTCTTCATTTCTCTAAGTGTATGTTTATGTTGTTCAACCCTTATATATAGTTTTGTTCATAGTTCAAGCGATTCGTTCATAGTTTTAATTGTTTTGTTCATAGTTTTAAATGCTCTGTAGATAGTTTTATCTGTATTGTATATAGCTTGTGAACCTAAGGTTTTCTTTACTTTGTAGTTTATTTTATCAATTTTATTTATTTTGTTTCAAACTTTTAGGCCAGTAATATTCTATTCTTTTGTACAATATTGTTATTCTAAAGGGACTTTTTCTATCTATCTATCTATTCCTAAGCTCGAGTTCATTCAAAGTTTGTAGGTTGTTTTTTTAAAGTTTTGTACCTCAATCAAATGTGAAGATATTGCGAAATGAGAAGTTGTTGTTGGAAATGAAGAATGAGAACGACTTTCTGAAATATTAAACAGTACGAATGTTGAAGATTGAGTTTAACTCTTCACCCTTTTTTAAATTACAATAAAGGTGTAATAGCATGTCCGGATTTCAATAGCTGCTCGGAAGAAGAGCTTAACGAAGACCTGCGTGATGAAGGAGTGTTCGAAGTCAGAAGAATTTATAGGAGATCAGGCGAACCGACATGTAATAAGAGACAATAAGCTGAGCGTGATCGAGCCCTCTGTTCCGAATCGTGCGGAATTCCAGTTGAACAGAAGAAAAAATCACCCTAACAAGGTTACGAATTGGACACTCACGGAAAACTCATGATCATCTAACTACAAAGGGTACACCTTCTCGTGTCACTACTGCTGGGTCAGTTTAACAGTCAGGTACATTTTATTTTGACTGAATGTTATGCATATGAAGGACTACGGGATGAAGTGAAATTGGAGAATAATATTATTGAAATTTTGAAAACACTACTAAAATGGCAAACAATTTTTTTAAAATAAGGAAACCATACAACAAAATTTAAATTTTAAATATACTTTTTTTGGAAATTTTAATGTTTTAAGTATTCTGTACTTTCAAAATTATTGTTAAATGTTATCGTATGTAATATAAATACTGTGTAAAGGCTGAATTGACCCATAAGAGGTTGAGGAGCCCCCCATTGTTATAAATAAATAAATTTTAAAAAATCTCACTTTCTATCGAAATAGTGTTAATATTACTTACTTACTAGCCTATAGTAAAATAAAACTGGAAACAACAATTAATAATGATTGAAAGATATTGTATAAATATCTTTTAGTCGTTTTCATAAATGTTTTATAAGTCGAATAAACTATCTCGTTTTAAAAAACTATTCACCAAGTTACAGATAAAACTATGCTCCCAGAATGGTTATCTAACAATATTACGCATTCCTGACTACTGTGTTATTTTCCTCTAAGAATTATTGAGTGT